GACTGGCTCCGAGGCTCACCCAATGTCTTGTTTTCACACTGCTCCTCAGATATCTCGTTAGTCTTTGCAGGGCAGGGAAACTGCATTTAACGGCAAAATATAAAAACAAGTTAAAAAAAAAACAACCCAGGGCTTCCTGCCTGGTGGGAACGAACTGACACGCTGTCCTGGATGCTGCCTCGGAGCTCTTGGAGGAACTGTCTCCACCTTCCTACCATCGAACTGCCTCAGTAGAGAAGTGGCCAGAGCCTTGCAGTGTCATGTCAAGGCACAGACCCATGAGGCTTTGGCCCTTCAGCACAAATTTACAACAGCTTCCCCTCGGCCATCCTGCCCGGGGCTGGGTATGGAAGCCCTGGACCACATGGTAGTAGGAGATAGGGCTACACCTCACTTGATACAGGCTCACCTTGCACAAGCCCAAGCCTCCAAGTGGCTTTAAAGCAGCCAACAACCAAGTCAGATGGAGTTTTAAAAACCTTGTTTATCATAAGAAGCTAAGCTGGCTATCCATGAATGCCAGCATTACTGTATCACTCAACGTAACCTCACAGTTTGCTGTTCCCTACAACGGAGCAGGTGGTTCCTTATAACCAAGCACAGAACCAAGAAATCCAGGTTTCCCCACGGATATCTCTCAAGGTTGAGTCTAAGGGATGAGTCCACACTGCAGCTTTTCTCCTCTATCTTGGCTCATATTTTCAGAAAAATGTGTAGGGCTGTTATACCTTTGAAGCCCACCAACCAAATACGGCCAAAAGGGGCCAGAAGGCTCAGAAGTCATTGGGGGAAATTAAGATGGACACAAAGATAGAACAACTGCACATTTCATATGGCTAAAGCTCCTGCCTAACTTGTATTTCGTCTTCTAAATGAAAAAAAAAAAAAACCCTCTGGTAACTATGCAAACAATGCAGAAGAGATAGGAAACCCGTATGAAGGGAAAAACAAGGCACAGAGCAGGGATGGAAGGGAATTGTGTTCCTGAGGGGAACACTCTTTTATTAAGCATCTCTATCAGAGGTAATAGGGAAAAATTAATGCATCAGAGGGAGACCTCTCATTACCCGTCTGGCCGGCATCCAACGTGAACCCACAATAACCACAACTGGCTTTCGAACACAGTAAAAAGACGCACAAAATGTTTGCTATTGGACAAGCAGTAAGCAGAAGAGCTGTTCCACACCCAACGATAGCGCTTGCCTGACTTATCCTCACTGATGGGGTTTGAAGAGCTGATGCTCAAATTCATAACCACCGTAAAGTTACAACCATAAAGTAGAACAGAAAAATGATGGAGCAGGAGAGTGGAACCTCCCTGTCCCCATCCCTTGCACGTCCGCGTGCCCCCAACAAGACGGGCTCCTGCCTGCCTTTCTCTGAATTTCCCTCGATGTTGAAGTTTGCACTTGCAGAGGAAATTCAACACACAGGATTTATAATTTGCTGGACAGACAGAGAGGCCTAGATTAAGGAGCTCTAATCCATCGAGGACGTTCCCTCGCTAGAGCCCAGAGTGAAATTCTTCGAGTGCTGGAGACAGATTTTCCTTGGCGGGTGGCCACGAGTGTCGATCTGGCTTCTAGGAGAGATCAGCATGGCTGTGGATTGCAGCGACTTCACAGACAAACATAAAACCTTCCTCTTCAACTAACTTTCTTATAATAAACCCATGAAAATGGAAAGCTAAAACATTTCCAGCTGGCCAGAAGCTGCGGAGAGAACAGTGAACTTATTGCATGTGCAGGCTTGGGGCTGATTTGAAAGGTCCTGGAGATCTTCAGGGTATTTGGACATTCAATGGCATTTGGACAGAAGCGCCTAAGTCACTTTTTGAAAGAAAGATGCAGAAGACTAAATTATTTAGGCGCCTTTCATATTTTAGCAAGGTTATTTATGGAACTAAATTTATTTCAGATTTCTAACATATAGCACTGAGTGCGTAAGAGCAAAGTTTAAGCTTTAAGGGGAAAAAGTATCTATTGCTTCCCTGTAAAGCCTTAAATATTTAAGTATCACTGTCAGACCCTTGTTATAAAAGGGCTCTTACAGAAGGGTTTGAGATGCAATTTGATTTACTTTATCACTTCATTAAAGGTATTTATGGATTTAGAATTGTCCCAGGATGGAAAGAAAAGTCCCTTTTTAAATTACTCTCTGCTCAGAACAGCAATTTTGATTCTCCGGGCTTGACTCTTTTCCTCTTTACCATACGGTGATGGAATTGCTCCCAATTTCCTTGAGCGCAAGGGGAAAATCAGGCTTTCAATGTACAGAGGGATCTTACACTTGAGTCTGCTGCACTGAACAAGGAGGAACTCTGATGCTTCTAGACAATGACATTTTTATAGGGCTTATTTTCCACTACAAGAATCTGTATTCAAGACACAAACCAAATCACTACATTTTTTTATCATTTTATATTTTATTGTACTAAGAATGAATTTTGATCATTCCCTTAAACTTATTCATCCCACATTACTTTGAAAATTTTCTCTCACCTACAACTGTTCTGTAACAGCTAGTAACTGAAATATATTGTGAAGGGAGGGGGAGATCTCTGTCATCTCCCTACTTACTTGGTGCGTTTTTTGCCCAGTTATTTTTCTTCCCTACATAACCAAGCCAGACCGCTTCTGCCTGCTCGTGCAAAGCCACACTAATTGACAGGACAGCTCCAAGGTAAGTATAAACCTACCTGAAACATAAACCTGAAATTACTTTTAACATTGTCTGGATTTCAGGTTGGAAACACCCTTTCACCAGCTATGCTGGCATTCCTTCCCGGGCGAAGGAAAACAGCCAGAAACACAAACACTTTCAGGTGGTATCTTTTTCCCCGTTCATAGCTTTAAGTCAATATTGTGTTAACATTTAGCAGCTTAGAAGAGTCTAAAAAGAACAAATTAAAAACAAGTTGAAGAACAAATTAAAGACCTCTCTTTGCTGTACCTTCCTCCATCCACCCTTCCAGCTATCCCCTGCTCGCAGGCCCTGCAGCTGGAGCTGCAGTCCAAGAAGAAGCACCATGGTGGTGGGAGCATCGGAGCTGTGATGGCCCCAGAGCAGCCAACGGAGCTTCACACAGATGGAGTTTGGTGACACATTACATGTCACGGGATTAGGTTATCGACAGGATCAAGGGAGCTGGGAACTATCTCATCTTTGCACGTTATTGCCAATCTCAATAAGCCAGTGATAGGTGGGTTCTCCTCTACTTCGAGCAATGAGATGTTGTCCATTATCTGTACAATACTTGGCATCCACAAGCATCCCTGGTATCAGAAGATCTAGGACTGCCTGTCCTCATCTGAAACCCAACAGGCCAGAGCATCTCCCCTTTCTCCTCGCAACATTCAGAAAAGCCATTATTTTTAAATGCAAGAAGAAAAGTTGGGACTACCTTCCAAAACAAAGCAAAAAACGCTGTGTACAAAGACGACCATTTGACAGAGGAAGAAGAATTGTAGAGGGCTACTGTTCAGCTTTCTCCTCGCCCGAGCTGAATTCATTTGGCTGCGTTTTGCACTTATGAACCGTACAAACATTTCACTGCTAATGCACTGGCTCAGACCAGCTGAACCTCACCGAGCATTTTTAAGGCATTTCATTCTTCAAACAGCCACAGCTTTCCTCTTCAAAATCCCTGCATTCAAGTCTTTGTGCTTGGAAAAGGACCAAAGCCTCCACATTTCCTTATACCCAGGAGGTTGCGAGCGCGTTGCGTACTGCGTACTGCAGTCAATAAAGTGCCAAGAAGCTAATGAAGATAAAAGTGTCAACGCGTAGCAGTGATACCTTTCCCATGTAGCTATTTTGACCATTTTGCAAACAAATTTGGCAGTTACTGGCAGGCCCAAGTCCGAAAAGCAAACGCGCGGCATCTCAACGTTATTAAACTTATGGCTGCTCTGCAGAAGTGTCATGGGATGACAGATTGCTCCCGGCACATCAATTGGATTCAGAGAAGTTCTCAAACCCTTACGGGTTAAAAGCGGCTCCAGCATGAATCAGAGTCCCAGTGGTAAGGAGATCATCGATACAAGGGATTATGCAGATTTAAGAAATACCCTCGGCACCCGAAAGTTTTCAGAATGCAAACTACGTCAACCCTGAAAACAAGAGGCACTGCATCATGATGGCAGGAGGGACAAAGCCAGGGGGGTTTAACAGACAAAAAAAGATTGTTTTAATAGGAGAGAAGCATCAGTCATTGAGTCTTACTTCATTCAGACTTTCTATCCAACCCATCCATCTTCAGTGCCAAGAGATGACAGGACCACCTCACTTTTCCCCCCCAGCCTAGTATATCAATAATGCCCATTTCTACCCCAAACAAATGACTCGCTAGAATGGCCCTTTTCCCTAAATTGGCTTGCCAAGCCCCACAAATGCCTCACTACCTGCTATGGTCAACTTGGCTCTAACGGGGCCCCCTCGAGAGGTGGGCACCGATGGGTGGAGCCTTCCCCAATCATCTTCCCCAACGGCCACTTTGTCATTCATGGCTGGGGACCATCTGCGGAAAGAGGGGACCGGGGAGGGGGGAGCCGAGCCAAAGACGGACACAAACGGGCGCGCACACACTCATACCCTCCCCACACAAGCCCGAATGCAAATTCCTTCGCCCTCGCAAAACGCCTCCGCGGGCATTATCTGCGAACAAAAGTCCTCGAGGCGGGCGGTCTCTGCATCACTGCTCTCTCTGTTAGCACCACCTGCTTGGCGTCAGCCGGGAGAGTCGCCGAGTTATCTTTTTGCCGCGTCTGCAGAAGCCAACGGGAGCACAATGGACCCCATCGGCCAGGGTCAGGCATGGCTTTCTTTCTCGCCCCCGTACCACCAGCCCTTTTCACCTCCACCATCTCCAGGACCCTGAGCGCTCAATAAGGAGGTGGCTTCGAGCGCAGGGAGGAGGGGCAGGGGGGAAATATAGGTCTCTGGCGTAAATCACCGACACCGTTTCCCCTCCTCTCCCTTTCCTTAAGACCTGATGGTCTTCAGTCACACATCTTAAAAGAAAAACAAAAAACAAAAACACAAAGACTTACTTGTCTCAAGTCGATGAAGGCCAACTGCAGCGTGTCCCCTTGGAACCCAGGCACTGGGCCGGATCTGGCAAACTCTGTGGGAAAGAAAAGAGGATAAAAAGCGCCTTTAACTAACCATGGACAGGGAGATTGGCAGACGGATGACAGGGAAGACAAGAGAGGCTGGGGGAGAGGAGGACCGCGCTTCTAAGGAGTCATGTCTCCCTCCCTTCAGTGTCTTTGTTCGCCCTTCAAAATTCGTGTCATCAAAACACCATTAATTCCACCGTCCTGACAGCAAGGAAACTGTACTAATTCGACCTGAAATTTATTCCCATGAGCCGTACTGGGCTTCAGAGTATTTGTTTTGTGAATGGACAAACAACTCGCCGAGAAGAAAGGGGGGGATGGGGGTGGAAAAGTTTTTCCTCTCAACACAATAAAATCTTCAGCTGTGAAACTCTTTTCAGTTCCGAAAGCTATTTATATTTTAGGGCGCTGAAGGAATTTTCTAATTTCACGCCTGTCACCAGGCTCCATAAGCATTCATCAAAAAAATATGCCCAGCCGCATCATTAATTATTCGGCAGCAGATTATTTGCATTATCTGGTATAGCGCGCTATTGCCAGTGTACAGTCACCCCAAATGGGAAGAATCGCGGCCATTATGTGGCATATTTATTTATGTTGGATGAAGACATCTGACAACTGAATAACATTGGCTTCTAAAGCGAAGAGAGTATTTCCAAGGCCACATTTACCTCCTTCCAGTGTAATCTGGCCAAAATTTCATACTTAAGTCATTTATTTTTCTTCTAATCCATTATTTAAACCAAGTCTAAAACCACTGAGGGGGACTTGAACGAATCCACCTTAAAGGACCTTAGCCCTTCCATGTCATTTAACAGCTTTTACTTGGTAGCACTCATGAAGCCCAACAACTGCACGTATTCAAGCATGTCTTTTGAAGATACGCCTGAGGTTGATTTTGCCCAACTTCACTTAATTGTCACCTTCTTTAGCTACACAAGTAATGGCTTTATCTCTGCTCTCCGTGCAACTTTTCACCACCAAGGGAATCTAATTTGTGAAGCTACAACTCAGCATCATGAAAGACTCAAGAGGGAGCTTCTGCCTTCGGCTGAATTTCATTGCTCCTGCAGACACTGAAGACGCTGCACGCTGGAACGAAATGCTTTCTTGAGATGCAACCGAGGGTGATGGCAGAAAGGAAGAAGGGAGGGAAAATATACACCAACCTACAGATTTTTAAGTTATGTATGGCCCATTATTGCCCAACTGTTCCGGTTTTTACCATACAAGAACCCCCAAAACAGCTCTTACAGCTCCACAAAGCTGAGGACTAAGGATGGCTCGGCAATAAGGAAGGAGGATTTTGCCTTCTGTCTCCAGGACTGCACAGAGGTACTAAAGGACAAAGCCTGTCCCTGTCTTTAAAAGCTAAGCAAAGTCATTTCATGTCAGATGGTCGTCTCCTTGAATGCTTCTCCTTCCAAAAGTTCTCTCATTTTCAAGTGAATGCCACAAAAGAAGGAAACCAGATCATCACAGTCCTATTTTTAAGGACTCCCTATAGCAGCCCAGTCATATAAGCAGTCCCCATGGCTCTAACGAGAACAGACTAATGAAGTAGACATCAGGATTCAGCCCTGTTCCTCAACTGCCTTATTTCTGGAAACCAGAGAGAGGTTATTTGGAGCTTTCTTGCTCCACCTTCCATTAAAATCTTGGGATAGAGAACATCTTTCAGTACAGACACAGGTACCTCCAGGGGCACAGCAGCCAGTTTTCAGACATCCATGGCTTTGCTTTTTAATATTTTCAAATGCCAGAAGAGCTCTAAGATTGAAACGATCACTCATCTTTGCAGTGATCACTCAAGTGACAACTGCTGCAGGACAATCGCAAACACGGCTGTAAAACCATTACTTTTATCCAACGTTACTACTAGAAACACATAATAAAAAATAAAAAGAGAAAGTATGTACGTGACTATTCACATTTAGATTTTGGATAGGAAGAGCATAAATCAAAGCGAGGAGAAACCATCCATCGTTGTGCCTATGGACTTTGCCACTTTTGCACAGGACAGGACTGGACAGAAGTAGGAGCCGCTCAGCTTCCAGCCGGTTTCACTGACCATTGCTACAACATTCAGGCTGCAAATAGTCCAAAGAGAGTGTATATTTAACACTCAAAAACTGTTTTAATTAATTCTAACTGTAAAGGCATTTTAATGTACGTTTGCTATAAAATTTGACTGTAGCTTGCCTGCGCCAGCACACACACGCAAGGGAGGACTGACACAAGCTTTCTGACATGGATCTGCAAGGGATAAATCATCTTTACACATTTGCTGTACACCCCACCGTCTCATCTGGAAAAATTATCCCAAAAGCCACATCAATGCTAAAACACACCCACTTTGGAAAAGCACTAACCTGAGAAGCTAAAAACTTTGAGATGCAAGAAATAGCGTTTGAGCATCCTCTCGAGGGATGAAACTGCCCTGGGCGGCTCAGTGTCACAGACGTCCCTGGGTTGAGGTACCCAACAAACTGGTCAAACCGCTACGTCCTACCCTCTAAGGATGGGGTCACATCACATTACTAACTATATTTGGAGAAACACTGGAAAACAGAAATCCTGAAAGGACTGCAATGAAAGAAAATTTCTATTTTGGATTTAAGGGCTTCGCAGCTGCTAGGAATCTATTTAGACGCACGCATGGAGTTGTGAAACTTAAGATCTTCCCAAAAGCATGAATTTCAAATCCTCATCAGAAAATGACTGGGTCTTGAATGTTTTCACAAGACTCGTGAATTTATCACTACTGTCATCTGCTCATGAGGAACCCAAGACAGATTTCATCCCAAGACATGGTTGCTAGTTAGCAGCTCACCTTTAGCTGTCTCTTAGTAAGGAACCGTACGGGAGGAAGGCTGGGAGAGTTACGGGGTGATGCTGCTCTTTAACACCGCGCATGACAACAACAGCAGCACATTGAACCAACATTTGCTTGAACAGTAATTCTCGTCAAAAGAAGGGATTGGAGTCTCTACTGCATTAACAATGCACTTGACATTCAAGAAGTAAAATGGCGTATGAGACCATATTATTTGTATTACAGCAGAAATGAGAGCAAGAATACAGCTCAGACGCTAGAAGAAAGCTGGTACAGCACTTGGCTGTAAGGAGCCCGAAGAGGAATGAATGCAATGCTTCACCCCATGGTTGTTATAAAAATAGCCGTACCTTCTGTAATCGTTAGGTCCCATTTTACATACCAATGCCACAAACCTATTTTGAAGGAGGAAAGAACAAAGTCTTAAAGAAAAAAAGAAACAAAGAAGAGAACAGAGCTTTAGAGGAAAGACACAGCCAGTTCTTCTTGGTTTTAATCTCTTCAACCAGATTTCAGGATAATTTTCTCGGAACAACCAAGCACAGTGCTGGCCTCAGTACTGTCGGATTCGTTTATTGTACTGTCTCCACTACCAAGGCAAGTGGCAAACATAGCAAGCCACCTACAGTACAGCCCCTTGAGCAGAAAATCACAAGAGAATAGAGCAGATCAGTATGCGGCTGTTTGTACAAAGCATTTAGCCAGGCTAAAGGTTTGAGAGACTTGTGTTCAGGCCAAAAAAGTAATGTCTTTGCAAGGTCTACAGGCTTGGGCCACCCAGGGCAGGTCACAGGGGGACTCTAACCTCTCTTCCAAAACATTTCACCGATGAAAGAATCAAGGAACAGGAACCGTTAAGCCCTTTACAATGAACAAAGAATAAAGAGTTCAAACGCACACCAGAAAAGAGACATCCACTGTAAATTAATTATACAGAACGGCGGAATCTCTTTTTGTATACTGTAGACGGCTACGCACACAGGGACAGTCTTACACGTATTGTGCGGTTCAAATAAACACAGCTGGTGACTTCATTCCTCAAAAACATCATTCTGAGAGTAAGATATTCTCTAAGTTTCATGACACCACCAGAACTCATGACGGCAGACCTGCAGGATCGAGGTTACAGCAGCTCCTGGTGAAGGGAACCTGGACAATCCGCTTGTGGTTGCATCAGTCATGAACAAGATTTTCTGTTCGGGAAAACTTCTTTACTGAAGAGTGGTCAGGCCTTGGAACAGGCTGCCCAGGGAAGTGGTGGAGTCACCATCCCTGGAAGTATTTAAAAGATGTGTAGATGAGGCGCTTGGTGACATGGTTGAGTGCGCCTGGTGGCATTGAGTTGATGGTTGGACTCGATGATCTTAGAGGTCTTTTCCAACCTTAATGATTCTATAATTCTATGAAACAACCATCTCAGTATTCCTCAATGAAGAATATGGGTCTCAAAGTCACCTTCCTTAGACAAACCCTTGGAAAAGCCAAGCGACAGGACCTCTTGCACCTTACCCAGAGGCACAAAATGACACCTTGAGGATACTCAAGCTGAAGAACAAATCTCTGCGTGGACTCTGGAGAAGCTTGCAAGGGAAAACAGGTGAGAAACGATGGGTAGGAATTGAGGCAAGAGGAACAGACAGAGGATCCCAATTTCCATATTGAGCTTATACTTCACCCACACCATTCCCACACAGCCCTGGACACATGCTATGTAGCTTTGTCCTTCATCATGGGCTAATAAAGGTCCCCTCCCTGGCTCTCACCATGGGTGAAGAGCTCACACACACATGGTTACCACCACCTCAGCCAGCACAGAACCACCACCAGCTGCAGTAACGTAACCCTATCTATAAGCCCTAAGTCTCAGGAGGATCTGCAGCTTTAGTTTCTTTTAAACATATATCTTTTCTTTTTAACTATACATCTGAGTGGCATGGAGAGGCACTGAGGCTGTGAGCCACGAATATAACAAAAAGCTATCAGGCATTGCAGGATCTGAAGAGTCATAGAATCATTAGGTTGGAAAAGACCCTTAAAATCATCGAGTCCAACCATGAACCTAACACTGCCAGGTCCACCACTAAACCATGTCCCAAAGCACCACATCTACACTTCTTTTAAGTAGCTCCAGGGATGGTGACTCCACCACTTCCCTGGGCAGCCTGTTCC